ATATATATTTCACTTTCAATGAAATTGCTGAACTATTTGCTTTATGAGCTTGATTCTACGATTGTCCTAAGAGGTAAATTAAAAACTGCATGATAATGTCTTGATTTCAAAAACTGTATGTGATTATGTCCAAGCCATTTTAATGAAACCAGTTCTAATTTATGACTGTGGTGGAGAGAAGCATAGTTGGACTGAACAGAAGCACGATGTGAATTGAAAGTTATTCTGATTCCTGCTGGACCAATCAGAACATTGTTCTGTATAATCTGTATAACTACACCGCTGGATGTCTGATTGTAATTTTCTATTTTTGCTTCTATTTAGCCCTATTTGCAGAGTATAATCTTCATATTTTTACTGCGTTATCTGGTGATGAAATATGACCAGACAATTATGAGAAGAGATCCCATTTTTAGGTTTGTATATATTGTAATATGCATACAGTGTGTTTTGTATGTGTATGTTAGTTGGATTAAAGCAATTATATTAATTATAACATTGATTGATTGATTGATTGATTGATTGATTGCATGCCATAAAGTTGGAATCAACTCTTAGTGACCACATAGATTTTCTCCATGACAGCCTTTCCTAACCATGTCCTTTATGGTTGAGCCAATACACTAATTTTATAATCTATTTCTATTTTCTTATAACAACTGTCTCTCCCAGGTCCTTGAGAAGGATTCAATAGATGAATAAAAATGCCAAATCCAAAGTAAATATATGGCTCATTGTGCAATCAATCATAACAATTTAGACCATACTTTAGGTTATGCATTGCCTCCTCCACCAAGTCATATTTGGTACGGTTGAACCCACAGTGGTTAAGCCACCACCAGCATAGCTCCTGAGGTCATTGAAGCACACAACCCCCTTAACATGGCAAAAGATGCACAGCAAAAGTACAATATTGGCTATTGTACTCAGAAGAATTAAAATAATAAGCCTTGACTAATAGTAATTAATAATTAGAAAAAATACTAATATTTTGTATATATGTTTTATGCAATTTATGTTCCCTCCTAGAAACAATCCCCAGACTTGATGACACAATACAGCAGGATTTTGAGGAGGAAAACCTAAGTGATACCTCTCATTCATACTATGAATAAAATAATATTTTTACATATATTTTTATTAAAACTTTTAAAGAAGTTAAAAACAAATACAAAGTAATATAAAGCAAGGAAGAAAAAAAGAAAATGAAAGAAAGCAAAAAGTGCAAGAAAAAAACTTCAAAAAAGTAGAAAGGAAAGGAAAAAAGATGAAGTGGCCTCCAATATTCTTTACAGTGGTTATAAGTAGAAATTTTATTTTCTCTTTCTAAAGTTACATCATAGTCCTCTTTGTCAGAAGCTTTTTTCCCCCCATTTTTATTTAAAAAGTCCAGAAGAGGCTTCCACTCACCAATACATGAGATAATATTTTTTTTTCTAATCAAAGAAGTCAATTTATCTATTTCAGTAAAGTATTATTAACTTTCCTAGTTATTCCTCCATAGTAGGTAGTGTATGTAATAATTCTGCTGTGGTCATCATATATTATAATGATCTTCCATGACTTTTTTTTTTCTAACATTAATCTTTAAAATCATCTATATCAAAGTATGTATTTTGAATCTATTTTTGAAGCTATTTTTTACACATCCACCATGCATGATAAAATATCCATTCATGTTTTCTCACATTTCCAACACACATTTTGGCTGTCTTTATACATTCTAGATCATTTCTCTAGAACCACACACCACATGTTTATTTTATAGAAATGCTCCTTTACACAATGTAAATTTCAACCTTTTATTAAATAAAAGAGCAACAGCAATAGCACTTAGACTCATACACCACTTCACAGTGCTTTACAGCCCCCACTAAGCAGTTTACAGAGTCAGCATATTGCCTCCAACAATCTGGGTCCTCATTTTACCAATCTAGGAAGGACAGAAGATGAAGCCAACCTTGACCTAGAAAGAATCAAACTGCTGAATTGCTGGCAATCAGTGGTCAGCAGAATTAGCCTGGAATACTGCATTCTAACCACCGCACCACCACCATTTCAATATGAACCATTGAAGCAAAGTAGAAAAACATTCCATCTGTTATATGTGAATGATCCGAAGCTATGTGGGAAACCAGAAAATGAAACTCAGTTTCCTTCAATTGTGAAGATATTTAGTGAGAATAACAGAGTGGAATTTGGTTTTGATAACTGTGTCATGTGCCTCATAATGAAAAAATGTGCAAACAAAATTTACGAATAGATCCATCATGGTTGGTGGATCACCTTCTATGGCAATAAATGCCAACTTGTTGCCACTATGAAGTGGTCATTTGGATGTTGGCTGCCCATTTATGGTAGCTCAATGATTAAGAATGCAAAAAGGTCAACAAAATGTGATTCTGATTGTGGGGAGAGGTGGGTGGAAGGCCAGTTACAATCTGGAAAGAAGCAGGTGACGAAAAGCCCTCTACTTCTAGCAGACACGGACGTTCTATGCCAGAAATCACTTAATGTGTGGAATTTGGATATGATAAATGTGTCACGTGCCTCATAATGAAAAAAATGCAAACAAAATGAAGGGATACAATTTACTAATAGATCCATCGTGGCTGGTGGATCACCTTCTATGGCAATAAATCATTGGTGGTATTCAGCTGGTATGGGTGGAAGGCCAGGTGCAACCTGGGAAGAAGAAGGTGACAAAAGCCCTCTACTTCTTGTAGACACAGATGTTCTGTGCCAGAAATCACTTAATGTTTCCGTTTTTTTTTCCTTTCTAAGGTCTTCCCCATAGTCATTTTGCTGAGGGATTTTCCCAATCATTTCTTATTTAATCTCAACATGGTTCGGAAGCGCTGAACATTCTGCTACCTTACTAGCTGTGATACATTATTCATTAGTCAGTTGAGCATATGAAAGCCTTCCTAATTGAAATTACCATTTATTCTTTGATATCAAATCACTTGAGACCTGTTGTTATATCTTTGATCTCTAGGATTTCTCCACAAAGAAAAAGAACCCATCAGAATCCTGAAGAGCTCAGCCAAGCAGATGACAGAGACGTCCTAGATGAAAGGACAAGAGTTGAGAGTGCACTGGCTTCTGTCAATGAAGGAGAGGTATAGCATAACTATTGGGCTTTTCTTATTTTGAAATATATGTATAACTTATTCCAAGAATATATTTGATTTGCTTATGAAATATAGCTAAATGCACAATCCTGCATATCATCCTACCTAACACCTTTACACTGCAAATAAATATTTACCTGGACTGCCTCAAGGATAGTGAGGCACTATTGAAGTAAAAAAAACACCAGAGTTCAAAAACACCTGGATAGTTCTGTGTATAAAGTAAACAAAGTGTTAGGCGCAGACAGGATTAGACACAGAGAAGGGTATGGACATAAGCTGAGTCTCCCCAAAAGAGATGCTTTTGATGATGCTTTTGACTTGTGCTGGTGTTTGATGATGAAAGATTCAAATTATTAAAATGGAGAGGTATTGGTGGAGGCCAAAAATCTTTTTACATAATTAAGGTATAGCACAATCCTCCAGGAACCCAGCATCAAGAAGCAACAAGCAGCTATTTAATGAAATCAAATGCCATAAGAGGAACAACATGCAAGAAGAGCATTTGAAAGAGATTGCAAAGTAGATTGCACACCACAATGTCCAAAACCATTTAATAAAAATTAAGAAATTGATGGAAGGTTTGAAACAAGTGGGATCTAGGTATTGTCTATAAACCACCATGGCTGAGGCACAGACACAGTTATTGTTCTATTGTCCAAACCAGCTTAAGGAATTATTGTTTAGATAACAGTTCACATAGATAGATAATAATATGGCAAGCAGACAATGGGAAAGATCTGTCTGAACACACTGGGAATCTGCTTCCAGAAATAAGTTGAAGGACATACTCTTGATAAGAAGTAGCCAATTTTACTTGTTTCTGTGATTCACCAAGAGATTAGCTCATACTTAGATCAACTAAGAGTACAAAATGGCCATGTGTATATATTGTAAGCAATATCTTCTCTCTGCTTAGAAACCAGTTCTCATTGTCCATAACTTGCGCAAGGAATACAAACATGGGAAGGCTTGCTCCTCTCCTTGTTTCAAGAAGAAGGAAGAAAAAAAAGTGGCTACCAGAAACGTCTCCTTTTGTGTTAAAAAAGGTTTGATTGGAATGAATTATATTCTTAACTCAGTCTCTATTGTAAATCTATTCTAGTAATTGATCAGCAAAAATTAAGTAAGAGAAGCATTGTGGGGTTTGAAACACTAAGGCCAAATTAGGGATAATAATGCTCAGAATATCACCAAGCAAATGATCTGTAAAGGTAGATTAAATGTGACATATTTCCCATCAAATTCTATTATTGAACCACAGAATTCAGTTGAGCTGTTCTCAGAGTAAGGTGAAACAATAAACCTTTTCTCAGTCTCCACTTTGGAGAGATGATTGAGACCAGGGTATGTGAATAAAATACACAGCATACAGTAAGGCTGAACTTTGGTTTCCCCTTGCTTCAGTGTATGAGGATAGGTAATGCCTATCCATACCATGAAAACATAAAATTCATTGGAAAGAAGAACGAATTTTACTTATTCTTTAATGCAAGCTTAACAAAAAGAATATAGTTAGTCCTTGACTTACAACCACAATTCAGCCCAAACTTTGTGTTACTAAGCAGGACAGTTAAATACATTTTGCCCGAATTTATGACCTTTCTTGCCACAGTTGGTAAGTGGATCACTGCAGTTGTTAAGTTAGTATCATGGTTGTGAAGTGAATTTGGCTTCCCCTTTGATTTCCCTTGTTGCAAAAGGTGATCACATGACCCTGGGGAACAATAATCGTCATAAATGTGATCCCATCGCCAAACATTCAAATTCTGATCACATGACCATGGGGATGCTGCAACAGTCGTAAGTGTGAAAAATGGGCATGTCATTTTTTTTCAGTGCCATTATAACTTTGAACAGTCACTAAATGAATGGTTGTAAGTCGAGGCCACCTGTAATAAGTAGTCCAAAAAGGAAAACAAGAAAATAATGCACTTTATAGCAAGTTTTGATAGCATACACCAATTTCTCATTTCTAAATCTTAGGTTTCAATCCAATCCCACCACAACATATACATCTTTTTATCTATTTTAGAACAGAGCTGGGATGGTGGGATTCACTTTTTTGCTATTACTTTCTCAATAA